CATGGTTCTAGTCAAAAATTTGAAAGTTGTTCTTCTTTTTATTTTATGCAAAATAGGCAAGGTAGATGTGTTTGTCGATATTCTCGATAAATAGAAAGTCTTTCTAGACAATAAAAACATCGATTATACAAAGTCGAAAAAATTGCAAAGGGGGTGGTCCGTCATTTTGGTCCAAAAATTCAAAATTTTTCATCGTTTTATTTTTAACAAAATAGACAAGGAAAATGTGTTTGATGAAATTCTCCATAGAAAAAAAGCTTTTCTAGATAATAAAAAGATCAATTTTAAAAATTCGAAAAAATTCCATTTTTCCAAAGGGGTTAGTCCATGGTTTTCGTCAAAAGTTTGAGATTTTCCATTTTTTTTTTTAAAAGTAGGCGAGAAAAAAATGTTTGACGATATTCTCCATCGAAAAACAGCCTTTTTAGATTTAAAAAAAACATTGATTTTAAAAACCCGAAATAAATGCATTTTTCCAAAGGGGTTAGTCCATGGTTTTGGTAAAAATAAATTGAAATTTTTCCATTTTATCATTTACGAAATCCATCAAAGAAAATGTGTTTGACGATATTCTGGATCAAAAAAATTATTTTTTGACAGTAAAAGCATGGCATTTAAAAAATCGAAAAACTTGCTTTTTTCCAAAGGGGCTAGTTCACGGTTTTGCTCAAAAATTTATTTATTTATTTCTTTTTTAGAAAAAATAGACAATAAAATTGGGTTTGACGATATTCTGGATAGGAAAAAAAAGCCTTTTTAGAAAATAAGATCATTGATTTTCAAAAATCGAAAAGGTTGCATTTTTTCATAGGGTTTAGTCCAAGGTTTTCGTTAAAAATTTAGGATTTTTCTGTCTTTCTATTGTATAAAAAATAGGCAAGGAAAATGTGTTTGGTGATGTTATCCATCGGAAAACAGGCTTTCTACACAACAAAAACATCTATTATAAAAAGTCGAAAAAAAGGCTTTTTAGCAAAGGGGATAGTCCATAGTTTCTACAGCTAATTAATTTTCGACCAAGATTTCCAGTTTGACGTGTGAGTCAGAGCTGTTAACTGATATATTTGTCATTTTCGGTGTCATCTTAAACGTCCAGAGGCTTGGAAGGATCTCCAAGAGCCTCAGTACAAATTTTTTTGCACCAGCCTTCGGATGGATTTGCCCAGTACAACGAACCCGCTGTACGTACTGCCTTGTAATACAAATCCGCAAAAAACTTACATCGTTCGTACTTTGTTGGCCAGGAAATCAAACGGCTGAACTGTTTCTCGCATAGCCTGTACATATCCTGTTTGAATGTATTGTCACAACCAGATCGGTTCCAACCATAGTGCTGACCCTGTGTAGACATGATTTTAAAAGAGGACATGTTCAGTCACTGCAAATAAATCATGATTCCTCTAAAATCGCCTAAGAAAGATAGCTGTTAATATGATCGTGAAATTAATGGCAGTTTGACTAGGTTAAATGAAAAACAGCCTTTCTATAAGAACGATCGCTGTTCGACCATTATGATCAAGGCGGAGGAGTTCAGTAGAGTAAAATCGTCGTGATTGCTGATCTTAGCTTTTTGGCTCGCGGCGATCGTTTAAGTGTCATAAATATGGAAGGACCTGCTAAAAGTAGACTGAAGCCGCAGGTCCTCACAAATCCGGACATTTTTGAAACCACCAGGTTCATGTGGACAGAGCCTTTTACAAGCCACCCTGGTAAGCGTTTCATCAAGAAGCCGTTTCGGTCACAGGTAGCCCAATCTCACTATGAGAGTTAATACATGTGGTTTCATACTGGCGTGCGTAACCCTTAAAATGGCCGTGAAAATAAAGGATTTGTATGAGAATTCAGGTAAAAGATTCAAGCAGATGAATACTCGCTAGAATTTTCAATAAAATACACCTTACCTTACTTGTCTTTGCTTGCTGTGTGGTTATTCTCCCGATCCATTGCGATTTAAGCGATTTTCTTTAATCCCCAGAAAAAGACAAGTGAAAATAAGGTAAGCTGTATTTTATTGATTTTCCGAACACTTCTTGTAAATGGTAAACAACCAGTGTCTCTATATCTATTTCTATAAGCCCAATTTACATACGCGATAAAAAGAAGGAAACGAATAAAAACATTTGTGTGAAGGGATTGTGTACGTAGTTTGATAGGCAATGACTGATCTTTAAATTCTTACACAGGAGTAGCAAACATCGTGCTTGTCGCAAGCAGGGGTGAACGTCGTCTTGTAGAAGAACGGAAGCCCTCCAGGAACACTGCAGCCATTGGTTTTTATGTAACACTCTTCCTTCGACATCACGTTCTGAGCTAAAGACAACAGCATCATAGAGAAAGAGGCAAACATTGGGATTTTCTTCATTGTCGGAGTTCTGGGGAAAGAAAAACATGACCTCATTTTACTTCTGATTGATATGAACCCGATCTTCCTTGCCATATCTGACCGTGGGCATGAAAAGTGCGTTAAGTTAGTCATGAAATCTAAATTTTATAAAGGTTTATATCCTTTAAAGTTATGTATCCCTCATCTTGTTTTACTTCTCGGGAAAATTTTTTTCCCCTGGGAGGGAGGGGGGAAACAGCATGATTGTTGTGTTTTACCCCGGCCCTTACTAACGTAGCAACACAATTTCACTTCAATTTAAACCGACAGCTCTGAAAAGCCGTTTCGATCAGAAAACGGGTTGGGTAACATTATGAACCATCCAATACTTTGGAAATATCTGACTAAATTTTGCAAGTTTCAGTTACTAAAAATCATGAACCTGAATCCGAAAGGCGACATTTTTGGCGTCCATCAACCTTGGGAATTATGCACGAGTAAGAAAAAAAAAGAAAAGAGAATAAGAGGATGGTGCAGGAGGGAATGGGTTTGGAGGAGAAGAGAAAAAAATAATAAACGTTCACACTTTTGGTTTTAACTGTTACTTTATATGGCTACTTTTCCTGAACGGACGAGTAACAAGCCCTGTAAATATAATTTATATTGCACAACTCACCTTTCCTCACGTTAGAAGAAACTGAACCGGTCACCTTGGACTCAAAATTTGACGATGGCGAGCCAAAATGAGGGAAGCAAACATATACCTTCATGTTTAACCTGTTGATGGATTTCGAAAGCAGGAAGTTCGAGTATTTTTAATGGCATCATTACTGACCCACTTTAAATGTGTTCAACGACATATTTGGTTGATCATTTTGTTTTTGAAACATGAATATTACCTAGTGTCTTTGTTTACTTTGGCGTAAATTGAGCAGTGAAGCCCGGGGGGGGGTACTTGGTTTAATTTTTGCTGGGTATGTGCAGCTGGCCTCTCAGAGCCCCTAGTCCATTATAGTCTATTCTGTGGCCAATTATAGACCCCATCTTAGTCACTTTTGGTTAAATGTGTAACTTTTGCGGTCCAACTTAGTCGCTTTCTATTTTTATGAATACACCCATTTCCGATTGAATGAAGAACACTTTACTTTTCATGTACAGCACAAACATTCTGGTACGTTTGCTAAACGTTATATGAAGAAGTATCTTAGCCCAAAAAAATCCGAAAATGTGCCACCCCATTCAAGTAACTCTGTTGAAAATGCGACCCCATTCTAGTCAATCTGGCCGTGAAAATGCGACCCCATCAAGCGGCACATCCCCAGTAGCCTCACATAAGGAAGTACCCCCCTCCCCCCCGGGCAGTGAAATCATAATTGTCATCAGCAAACAGCCCTTCTTACAGCTGTTCCTCTTCTTAAGTCTTGGTAACTAGAAGTGGTGTCAGTCCGGTCCTTAAAAAGATCTACAAAATTCTAGTTTATCAGGATAATGTTAAAGGGTGTCTTAAGTCTCCCTGACTCCTACTCACCTCAAGGACACAAACATACTCTTCTTGGGCGGCTTAAGTGTTTCAAGGACTGTGGATAAGTGGAATTAATGTACACAAACTAATCTCTTTTCGCATAATCTCTTGTCAGAGGGAGTTCAGCCTCTACGAAAGATTTATTTTGTGATCGGTCAGCAGTTTCGAAATGATCTAATTAAACGCTTCCGCTTCTGGTTTCCGTCATTTTACTGGATTTAAAATTTAACCGTGGACGTCAGGCGTAAAAGATTAGTTCAGTTGTCACTTAATAAGCCAAGTTGTTTTTATCTTTAGAACAATGCAAGAGAGAATGAGGCGCCTCATTCTCTCTTGAACAATGTTAATGATGAGGATTATGATAATGATGATGAATAATGATGACGACGATGTTGATGACCTTGACGATGATGATAATGATTACGACGATGATAATGACTTTGTTATAACCAGCCAAGAGCCATAATGGCTCTTGAACCAGCATCCTCAATGAGCGATATTTTTTAAATACAAGTTTCCACTCCCTTTAGTTATCGATGGAGACGTTGTTGAAGACAAAGAGGAAACAGGAAGAATCAAATTCAGAGCAGGAGAGTAGAGAAGGGGCTTTTCACACGGCGTTTTTTGTGTGAATTTGAAACAAAGCTAAGAATCAGACTGCTGAAAAACTTGATGACAATGATAGTTTTATTCCATGTCAAGGTTTTACAGATGCTACTGACGAGAAAACGTCATAAATTCTATCAAAACTGTGTTTCAAGTAGAAGGCGTTCGGTGAAGGAAACCAATGACTTTCAAGCTCCAGTAAAGGAGCTGCGCACGTATTTTATAAAAATCTAACCGTGGGAACTACCACCAAATTGCTGGTAAAGAGCGAGGATTATTCAGTAAATGAAACTCGACTCCTACGGGAACAGAGAAAACCGAACCATGTGGAACATACTGTAAGATTAACTGACGCTAGCTCAACACGTCAAATATAAATAATCCATTAAAAACATGAACGTATGCTCTTGAACAGTCTTTTATTTCGCTTTGGGCCACGTCTAATCTTTCGCTAATCATAGAACAAGTGTTCCAGTTTGAAGTGTTTGCGAGCTGAAAATTCAAGTATGTGACGTTTTTAATGTCTGAGAGGCTTGAAAGGATCCCCAAGTTCTCGGATAGATTTGACCAGTAAAACCTGCCAAAAATACGTACTGATTTGTAATACAAATCCGCCAAAAACTTACATCGTTTGATCTTTGATGCCAGTAAGGAGATCCAACGTTTCTTACGGCCATACTTTTTATCGCATAGCATGTACATATCCTGTTTGAAACTTTTTTCACAACCAGATCGGTTCCCTCCAAAGTTTTGACCCTGTGTGGACATGATTTGAAAATAGGCATATGTTCAGACATTACAAATAAATCCTAGTTTACATATGATCGCTCAATGCAAGTCGCCCCATTAAAAGACAAGCGGCAAGAGATCATAACATGGCTCTTGACAAGCGGCCAAAAAGATCGTAAAAATAGTGGAAGCCCTTAGACTAGATTGGACGATAGCTGGGAGAATCTGAGCTCAGGGATCGCAGCAGTTTTTGAGGAAATACCTCCCGTCCCCCGTGATTGTGATGGTCGAACATCGATCATTCCTGCAGACTTAAGTTATATTTCTGCTAGACTGTTTTTGCATAAGTAAAAAAAAAAGGAAACATGGTAAAAACATTTGTGTGAAAGGGTTCGGTACGTATAGAGAAAGGGTGATGGAAAATGACTTATTTTGGAATTCTTACACAGGAGTAGCAGACACCGTGCTTCACGCAAGCAGGGGTAAACGGTTTCTTGTAGAAAAACGGCAGGTCTCCGGGGATACTACAGCCATTGGTTTTTATGTAACACTCTTGATTTGGTATTACTTTCTGATCTGCTAAGGACAACAGCATCATAGCGCCAAACTTAAGCATTGTTAAAAGTAATCCTCTTCATTGCGGCGGAGTTCTGGGGAAAGAGAAACATCACTGTATTTTACTTTCCGTGAATACGAACCTGGTTTTCCTTGCTATATCTGTCCGTTAAATGTGCGTTAAAGTAGTCATGTTATTTGTATTTTAGAAAAGTGATCCTTTTTAAACATATCCCATCTTAATATAAAACGCGTGAAAGCCCAAGTTTTATCCGTCTTATTTAAATCCGCTCTTTTAATACTTTTGGAAACTTTGTGTTATTTGCTACACGCGGTTTTTCCTGGAGAGGTGCATAATAATATTGATATTAATATTATTCAGTGAATTCCCATTCGACACTTCAGTAGCTTCGCAAAGCTGCAAGAAAACGGGCTACGTAACATTTTTCGCTATTTCTTAGGAACTCTCCGACTAGATTTTGGAAAGTGCGCTAATTGAAAATTTTTAAAAAATCTGCAAAATAAGGCCAAAAGGCGAGTTTTTTGGGGGCCCCCTCAAGCTTGGAAATCATGCAGTGGTAGAAAAAGAAAGGAAAAAGAGGGGCAGAGGGGGAGGGAGAGTGTGGGGTGTTGAATGGGGTTGGGGAGAGGAGAGGAGAGGCTTTTTGCCCAAAGGAAAAAAATGGACGAATTACAATTGCAACGATATGCTCGCAGTTACCTTTTAAAAAATTCACTTAGATTTAAACTATAATGATAACTATGATTCACAGTAGAGCTTACCAGTCCTCACAATTTTGAAGACCAGGGAACTTGCATTGTACTCAAAATTTCAAGATGGCGAGCCAAAATGGGATAAGCAAATATATACGTTCATGTTTAACTTACAAATGGATTTCAATATCAAGGCTTTCAAGTATTATGGCAACATTACTGTCCCACTTCAAAAGTGCTCAAGGACGTACAACTCTAATTGGTTATCATTTTGGTTTTGAAACAGTTTCAGTTGTTGCTTTTAAGTTGGGCCGTGAAATCATAAAATTAATGTCATAAGCAAATAGGAGCCTGAAAAAAAACTTGTGACCCACCTGCGTAAGTGGGCCACACTATGCCGGATAAATCTAAAAATAAGCAAGCAACTTGAATTCTTCTTTCAGCTTTTTCTGGCCTGTCATTGATCCGCGCTAATCTGGACTAATAGTCCAACTAAAGCGCTCTTTCAAAGTCAGTAGATAAACTTAAAAACTGTCCTTTCTAAAAATGCTAAAGTCATCACGATAACTGATGTGATTTCCTTGGTGGTCTTGGTGGCGTTCCGTTTGCATACCTACTAGCTAACAGGATAACATTTTATCCTTTTCTGATCAAAACTAGAAACGCTAGAGTCCTCCCACCAAAGATTTTCTTTCTAAAAAAGTTTTAATAGTTTCCTATTTATATTCACGACTAAGAGACGGGAATGGGTATGCAGCTCGAACTAAGGAGCCTGAGTGTTTAATGCCGTCCAAATATCATACAAAGTTCAACATCATAACTAAAGAATGGTATACAAATATCCCTAAATAGAGTCACTCAGGCTAAACTATTCACGTGCGCCGCCTGATACGAAAACCCAAAAACCCAATGGGAAAAAATTGGGAACGTATTCCCCAGCCGATGCGGTCGCACAACCTCTGGGGGTTAAAGGTAAAAAATCAATCGATAGATGAATAAAGTAAGATATAAAAATAAAAGTTGATAGTTCGAGAGCTGAGATGAATACATTACAACTGTCAAAACCTTATATACCTAATAACAATAGAGTCAATTAACGCCATAACCGCTCACGTGCGTTCATACCAATAGGAAAGTATTTACATTCTCTGTCACTGCCACTACGTTTAGCTCCGCCGAATGTAAATACATTTCCTATTTATATTCACGACTAAGAGACGGGAATGGGTGTGCAGCTCGAACTAAGGAGCGGCTGAGAAAACAAAGAACGGGAAACAATTACAGTCCAAGAGACATAGAGACCGCTAATCGGCTCTCTAGCGAATCTGTAACGTAGCCATCCTTAGCGTTTTCCGAACGCCATCTACCGTGGAGCTTAAACATTCTATCAGAGATACCACCATTAGCGGCGGCAGATGCACCGCCACTTCTGAAGCTGTGCCAAGAGAAAGACTTAGGATCTAAGCCTACGTCTGCAATCTTCTTCAGTAAAACTTCTCTACATCTTGTATAAGACAGTTTGGAGCCTGGGCGGATGGACTGAGAGCCAGACTTGGTTTGAATATTTCCGAACAAATAGTCGTCTCCACCTTGGGAAGATGTCGGTAACGTGAGTTTGGCTTGCGATAAATACTTCTCTAAATTACCCCAGGGGCAAAGATCCGTGCCAGACTTGACAATGGGGACAATAGCGCCCTCGCGATATTGATCAGTTTTACTGCTTTCTATAAAAAGTTCAAAATGAGTGTCATGCAGCGCTAAATCCTTAAGCTTCAGATTAGCCAATTCATCAAATCTTAAGAACCCCGCAAAGGCCAATAACGCCATGGCCATGAATCTTGTGTCCACCAAAGATCCATCGAGACTCTGAAACAACTTTTGTAAAATTTCGGGTGTAATGGGGAGCTTTTTGGAAGTAAGGTGTAGTAGCCTTCTCTTAGCGGACTCCACAACCTTCTGGGGAACTGTATGATTGGTAGGAGAGTCGAAACCGGCAATATCATGAGCCCAGCGAATGCTATAGAAGGCGTTCTGGACCGGCGCAGGAGAACTAGAAGCCTGGAGAACACTGAACAGGTATAAAGAAACATAAACCGGAGTAGCAGGCAGCACTGCGACCTCGGGAAATCTGTTGGCCCAAGCACGCCATCGCTTAAAACCGTTGAGGTAGGCGAGAGTAGTGGAATCTGCCCTGGAACCAAGGATCTCCGGTAGCTTTTCTGCTAAGCAGCGTAGGGAAGGAGCTTTGACATCGTTAAGCTCAACCCACATAGGGCAAAAAAACATCTGAAAATACAGAAGAAATTAAAGACCATATGGATTCAATGTAAGGACTTAAAAAAGGAAAGATGCACGAGAAAAAAAGGAGCGGTAAAAGGAAACGCGCGTAATATGTAGATATAACTATCACACAGGTACATAAGATAACAAGAGAGTGACCACCGAGGCGCACTCGACCATATATCTGGGGGACCTGGAAGGATTAAAAACTGACCGAGGTCACACAAAAATGTAACGGTACGACCCGTCGGGATCAGTGAAGGTACAAACAAGGTCACCGAGACCCGCATAAATGCCACCGAGGCAAAAGAAAAAACAGAACAAATCACTCCAAATAATAAACCACACTTTAATATAGGCTAAACAAGGTAACTACACGTAACTGCGGAAAGGAAACTAAGCCTAGAAGAACAAAACTAACAAGCCGATAAACGGACGGCTAATACATGAGACTTAAATTTAGGGCCATCAAAAATAGACTCTGTAGAGCCCGGAACAAAAATATTAGAAACATTGGTAAAAACAATGGTCTCTTTAACGCAAACGGAAAAGGGGGAATGGGGACCAAAGAGCATGGGCCAAAATGGAGCTGAGACCCACTTGGGGACAATAAGAGTGCCCATAGACCTACATACAAACAAATGCCTAATAACCCGGGGAACAAGGGACACTGGGGGAACAAGCCAGTTATTCTCCCCCGCCCAGTCAAAACAAAAGGCATCCACCCCCTCCGAGTCAGGATTCCAGAAACGGGAAAAGAATCTGGGTAATTTGCGGTTATGGGAATGGGCAAAACGATCTACGGAATGTGGACCCCAAATGTTGTCTACATGGTGGAAAAATTCAAACGAAACACCCCAGTCATCAAAATCAACGATCCTACTTATGGCATCCGCGTGCTCATTGAGAGACCTAGGAATCCAGTCCACCTGCAAATCAATACCATTTCGCAAAACTAGTTGAAAAATAGAGAGGGAAATTTCGTGCAAATCCCGCTTCATACTCCCGTTGCGAATAATGGACGGAATGTTGCGGTTATCCGTGAACCATTGAACTGCGCGCCCTGACAAAACTACGGAAAAACTAGAGAGACAAATATAGACTGCCTTAAGCTCACGCCACGTGGAGCTGCGAAACATTTCATTAGCAGTCCACGGAAGATGACAAATAACACCCTGGTGGTCTTTAACAACACCGCCAACCCCTAGGTCACTAGCATCTGAATAAACAATGGTACGAGAACATGAAAAGTGACGCCCAATGGGCCTCCCATTCAAACACCGAACGTTCTCTTTCCAGAAAAAAAGCTCTTCTTTGACAGAATCGGACAAAGGAAACCTAGAGTCCCAACTAGGCTGAAGGACGATGGACATATGAATAAACTTTGTCATCAATGTAATAACATTACCTACAGCTAGTTTAAAGGAATTAATACGACCAGCAAGAGCGGACTGTTCCCTGGCGGTGCAACAATTAGCCTCTAAAAGGGAATCAATATCAGAAACAACCCGCTTGAGCTTTATCCCCGGAACAAAAAGCAAACCCTGAAAAAGATCAATGGTGAAACCCAACCAATCAAGGACTGATGTAGGAACCCAAACAGATTTCTCGAAGTTGGGTACAAAGCCAGAACGAACCAAATCAGTCTTAACCCTGGTGGAATGGGCTAAAGCAACCTGATATGAAGGCCCCTCCCCTAAACCATCATCAAGATAAACAACAATGTGAATACCATCCCGCCTCCAGTAGGCAACGAGAGGCCTAAAAATTTTTGTGAAAACAAAAGGGGCTCAACAGAGGCCGAAGGGCAGGACCCTAAAACAAAAATAACGGACCTACCCTGATAAAACCAGGAAAAACCCAAAAATGTCTGGTGGGGCGAGAAGATAAGCACATGATGATAACCGCTCTTAATGTCAAATGAAAACATGAAATGACCCTTGTCAAAATAATTTAGAGCAACCTTAAGATCCTCAAACTTGACCTTTTGCTTCCAGACATACTTATTTACAAACCTAAGATCCAAAATCAACCTCTTTTTCCCAGATGACTGAATAGAAACGGAAA